ATAAACCTGTGTACATCTGCTTGCGCTTGGATTCCCACAGGTTATGGGCCCAGATCCGTGAAGAAAGTAATAGTGGAAAAGTGTTCTCCGGTGGAGGAGACATTTTGTGTGGATTGCGTTGCGTTTGTGCTTTGTTTACGAGAAGATTTCCCCCGGCGGGTGTATGTGCTGTTGTCCGCAGCTGAACGTTTTTGTCGGGTGAAATTGTGCTGTTGGCAGTGGAGTATCGGCCAAGTGTGTAGCACGGAACGGAATACGAAACGGAAAAAGTTTTGTTCGAGGAGGAGAAATTTTGTTTTTCTCTCCTGTACGGGCTGAAGTGCAAACTTATTGTTTGCTGGTCCGGTCTCTAAAAGTGCGATTGTTTGAACTGAAGAAGTACGCTTCGTTCGAAAAAAAGCTTATAGTGGAATAAGAAAGAACACTTTGTGGAAAGTATCGAATTGTGAACATTGTTCGCTCGATTGTGAAGCTGTTTTCTTTGCCCGACCGTGCGCGTAGTGTTTTTGTTTCGTGGAAAATGGCCGAGACGAAGATAACATTAGACCGGTTGAACGATTTTAATTGGGCAACTTGGAAGTTCCGGATGGAGTTGTTGCTGCTCAAAGAAAATCTGTGGACAACGGTGATTGACGCGAAGCCGGAGGTGGTTACAGCAGCTTGGACGAGGAACAACGAAAAGGCTCGAGCGACGATCGGTTTGGCGCTAGAAGATGGTCAGCTGTGCCATGTTATGGGAGCTGCTAGTGCAAATGAGATGTGGGACAAGCTCAAAGGCTACCACGAGCGAGGGTCTCTGTCGAACAAGATCCATGTACTGCGGAGATTGTGCTCGATGCGGCTGAAAGAAGATGGCAGTATGTCGGAGCATCTAGTCCAAGCGTCAGAGTTGGTTCACCGACTAGCCAGCATGGGAGAGCCGTTGAAGGAACATCTTGTTGTGGCGATTTTGTTGTCAAGTTTGCCGGAGACGTACAACCCGCTCGTTACTGCTCTTGAAGGCCGTCCAGAAGAAGACCTGAAGCTGGAGTACGTGAAAGGTAAGCTTCTAGATGAGTGGCGGAGAAGATGCGAGAACAAAGTGCATGAAAAGGCCAGTGAAATGGCGATGAAAACCACAATGCGATCGGAAGAACGGAGAAGTTTTGTACGGGTTTGTTACCATTGCAAGCAAGAAGGGCACTTGCGGCGAAATTGTCCTGTGTTGATGGCGGAGAGGCAGCAGAACCAAGCGAAGTCGATGGTGGTTAAGCAATCGGATGCCGGTAGCATTGGCAGTAGTCGAGGAGTGTGCTTCACGACGACGACTGCAAGTGATGTGTCGATTGACGGTCGTTGGATCATCGACACTGGCTGTACGAAGCACATGGCTGGTTCGACGGCGAGCTTCGACAGCATGACGTTTTGCGAAGAGAAGGTGTCGTTGGCGGACGGGAGAAATGTAACTTCCAGAGGAACCGGACATGGAAGGATCGTTGGAGTCGGCTTGGAAGGCGAGTCCGTTGACATGCAACTGAAGGGATTGCTGTATGTGCCTGGATTGTCCGGAAGTGTGCTGTCAGTGAGCCAAATCACAAGCAATGGCTATGATGTGCTGTTTGGTGTGAAGGATTGCAGAATCCAGAAAGGCAAAAAGGTTGTTGCTATAGGTGACCGGATCGGAGGGCTGTACTACCTAAGGCAGCCGGTAGTGACGTAAAGCAGGAGGAGTGCTACGGAACAGGAGGAGTGTTGTAAGTAGATGCAGTAGTGGGCTTCACTAAGGAGGAGTGTTGGAAGTAAGTAGTGAAAGCCCCTGGATACGCGCATCTATCATGTGGCTCCCAAGATCGAGAATGACAGCTGCCGTATGAGTGTGTATGAGTGCGTGAGAGTGAGAGACTGACGAAGCATAAATTGCTGATGTGTGTACAATTTATGTTTGTTGACTAGTCCATTGTAACTTGTAAATAAAGACGCACGTAGAACGTAGTCCGCGGTTATTTTTCTTTGGTATCACGCGACTCCCGAGACGGGTGTTTATTGTCCAGTAGTTCGGTTTGGATAAACCTGTGTACATCTGCTTGCGCTTGGATTCCCACAAAAAGAGCGATTTATGATTTTAGTGGTGAAATGAAATAAATCCAAACAAATTGGAAGTTTTTCTTATATAATCAAATAGAAATAAAAACAATAGAATTAATATTTTGCTCTTGAATATTATCAGTCTTGAGAATAATGTTTCTGAGCATACTTGTGCGGTGAAGACTTGCAATAAAAAGCCGTATTATTAAAAACAGTTTACTTCCCCATCTTTCTATTGAGGGGTAAAAAAAAAAATACAAAATTGATTCTTATTCGCGGTGAGTAGCAGGTTTGCTGAGTGAACACTAACATTTCGTATATTCATTCAAACATGAAGAAATAAATAAAATAAATTAAAATAAGCGTCTCTCAACAAAAGATATTCATAATGAGCTTCTAAAACGAATAAATTTCAGTGTTTGCTTTTGTTACACCCGTCTGTTTAATTAACATTGTTCCCCACCAACTTGAAGTTTCAAGAAACAGATGAGGCTATCTGTTTTTATGTTCAGTATTTTATTTACTTTATTTACATATCTGCATTCGCCCTATTCAGATAACACTTCTGAAATTTGTGAGTTTGACAGAACCACCAGCACCAAATTTTCGGAGTACACTGGAAATGTACTGGACTTGTCAAGTTGCCCCCGGGTTGGTGGATTCATGCAGAACATGCAGGGGTGAGTGAAATAGCTTGGGACTGCTTGGGACCGTTGTTCTGGTACTGAGTGAGCCAAAAATAATAATGATTTTCTTCGGGACCCAGTGGTCTTAGAGTTACCTCTATGCCAATAGGCTAGTCAAGTAGTGAGCCAATTTAAAATCGTTAGTTTCGAATTGATTGTTGTAATACTGTAAACAGCAAAGGTAGTAAGCATTTATAAAGGTTGTTTAAAAATATATAAAAAAACACTTACTGGATCGTCGAGTATGGCCTGTTTGATTTGATCCAATATTTCAAGACCATTCACGGAAAGCTAAAACCGGAAGCCAATTTTTGGGACGGGGAGAAGCCGGTGGAATCTATAATCTATGTTTGGGAAGAGGATTGATATGACCCTACTGCTGCTGCTGCTACTCCAGTTCCTGGTTCTGTTTTGTTCTGCATTTTCAGTGCTGCCAAAAGTGTTGGTGTATGAGGTATTTTTGACAGTAAAACAATTTGCATTAAAAAAAAGCACTTTTAAAATTACGAGTCATAAGTGAACGAAAAACTTTCAAACCAAAAAAATAGCTTTCGTTTTGAATATTTTCATTGTTGAAACTATGAAATTTGAGGATCTTTCAATTTGAAAGTGGATTATTTTAATTACAACAATGTTTGTTCTTTGAGTGTATGAATAAATGTATCCTTCAATGTGCTTTTTGACACTACCGGGAAGATATGTCCCACAGGGTAGTTTCTCATAGTTGACCATTTTGCTCAACATCAACAATGACATTAATCCTAGCTCTGTAGTTCAGGTTAGGAAAAAAGTTAGGTTAAAACAAAACGTCAGCTATTGTTGGTAAACAAACTGACAGCATTGTTGTCAGCATTCCCCCATGCACTCAAAAATATAACTACCCACAAATCTAAAAAAACCTACTACTGCGTGCACTTCCATTCTATTACCGAGAACCATGATTTTTCGATAAATTCCTTCCACGCTATTGGTCCTGACCTTTGGTTCCACGCTTTTACCACCAACGAAGTGACAGACGACTAACTGGCGAAGAAATCCATTAAAATAATGTGGTTCACTGTAATAGAATTTTCTTGGAAGCTTGTGCCATCATTCACCAGATGGGTTAGTTTTTTTGTTTTGATTTGAACAAAGTTGATTTTGTGTACAATGATTCTTTGACAGTGTGCAAAGAGTGTATCATTTTGTCATTTTTTTATGCATTTCAGTTTTGAGTAGAGTGAAAGAGATAGAACCAAAACATTCTAATACATTTGGTGAAAATGTTAGAACAATCCAGTAGTAGCAACAATCAATACGAAACAAACGATTTTAAATTGGCTCACTGCTTGGTCCCAACCAAACGATTAACGTATCCCATTCTAGTCCAAATTCTAGTACTACGCAATGTTTGTTTTGATTCGCTATGAAAGTTTGACAGATAAAATGAGGGGTTATTGGTTTTTCGTATGTTTCGAGGGGTGAATCGATTAGCTTGGGACCGAAGAGAGTACCAGAGATAAGCCAAAAAGTTGAGCACGTTATTTCGGGACCTTCTAGTCTTAGAGTTACCTCTATGGGGGCATCCATAAATGACATATTTTTGATCAATTTTAGACCCCTCCTCCCCCCTCGTAGCGTATTTTGCTATACCCAATACATGGCCGGTCACAAATTCTAAAATCCCCACCTCCTCCCTCAAATGCTACGTCATTTATGCATGTTCCCTATGGTTCAACACATTCAACACACATGAAAACAATCTTTGAAATTTTTTTAATGCGGTGTTTTTTTGCTGGGGAAATATTGTAATAGGAGAAATGGCTCTAATGTTGGCCTATGGATCTAAGATTGGGCCCATCGCTAAAAATATGCTATTCATAAATTATATCTAGATGAACGCGTCATTGGGACGGTACTAATGGATATTTTTGGTCGCTATTGAAAATTTAGTCGATTGCTGAATTTATGTATGGGCCCAAATTAGAGGCATTTAGGCCGACATTACATCCATTTCCCCTATTATGATCAAAATTATTATTTATTTTCATTTCATTATCCTTTTTTCTCGAGTAAATTAAGTAAAGTAAATTAAAAATCGAAAGGATGCATCACCATTCCCAAAAATCAGGAAGTATTACGGATACCACTCCTCGATTAATTGTTGCAAAAATCAGCGTTGCATACGCTTATCTATGGAATCTATAGTATCTATATACTATATTTGCAAGGAGATGTGATATTTCAATCTGAATTAAAAACTCACACAAATCGACTCGAACTTTGGTCTACTGACGGAGGAATTACTATTTGGATGCTTATCGGGTAAATGTCATTGACTGATTATTGAAGAATTTTTCGCTTATGGTTGCTTTGATTTGCTGCACTAACCAAATTTGAATCGAATGCCGCCTGCTTAATTCTTCATGTTTGCACTGAATCGTTCTTTGAGCGCTTGCTTAAATGGGTTCCGTTGGTTTGTCAATCTGTTGAAAGTAACTTTAAGAGATTGGTTACAATTAAATTGTGTTTGCCTAGCCGCTAATTGTTATCTATTTTATCGTATAGAGCACAGTAAGAGGGGAAGCTTCGACAAAGAATGAATACAACAAAATTTTGACTGCAGGTATGCGGTAACTACTATTTGTTTTCATTCTGAAGTATCACAGAACCATGAGTTTGTTGTCTGCATCAGATTCTATTTTGTTTTTTTCTGCTATTCGCCAGATTGATTTTTTTTAAACATACAGCTATTTCACATGGAATGATGTAGTTCATACTAACTAGTTTTGGTTGGGTGGAAATTTAAATAAAGAAAATGCTGATACGTTTCGGGTGAGTTTGATCTAATGAGAGTGTTTGAACGCTTAATCATCTAGAAATCACATAACTTCATTTGTTATCCCTTATATCCGTTTATCGCGTTTTCGATCTTATTGATATCAAATGTTTTTGAATTTGTAAATTCCTACTAGTTTTAAGGCGCGCCGTCCAAACTTAAATAAGATTTCATTATAAGGTAAGCGTCTCCTCCTCACTAATGTCCGCTCTGAATGTTTACCTATCTCGAAACTATTTCTAAAAATGCTAAATAATGAGAATAGGGTAGGCGAAATGCAGTGGCCATCCATTTCTTCGTCACTGATTTGGCACAAATGCTAGAAATTCATTTCCGATAACTTAACCTTCACGCTTGTCTTGATTCGTATCCTTTTGGCACCTTTTAAGAGAAGTTTGCCATTCTCACCCATACATTTACGTAATGTTGAAGAGAGTCGCTGCCCAGACGAAGAAAGCGCACTGTTTATATTGGTTTTGCAATTTTTTGGATATATTTTTTAACTGGAAAGCGATTCAACTGGCTACGGGTGTCGCAATGGGTTCGTATAATTCAATAAACTGATTTCCTATTTCAAGACGACTAAAGCTTCAAGTTTTTCGATATAGATTTGCCACCTTTTCTATTTAATATATTTAGGTTTTGCTATTTAGGAAAAAAAATAAAAATAGTAAAATTCACAGAATTGACGTACTTTCTCTTGGTCAGCTAGAACTACTCTAGTACTACATATATCAAGGTTTTGTTTTGTGCTTTGTGTTGTTTGTTGAGATTTCCCAGGCTTTCGTGCGATTGCTCGATCCACGCGTCTTTCGTTCTGAATTAAACCATACCGAAGCCTTCGGTTCCTTCGCTGATGGCAAACATCAGGGCCCGTTCGAACTGCTCGTAGCTCTCGTAGTCTGGCAGGCAGAGTTGGTTGAAACTGAAATAGACAAAAAAAAAAATATGTCATTTTATTAGAGATGCAGTGTATAAAATACATAGAGAACTATGGGAAACCCCCCGATTGGGTTGAGAATTGTTTTTTTTTTGTTAAATTGAAGAGATCGAGTAGGCTCTGGCCACGAGTGGACTTGTTTGTTTTTTTTTCACTGTTATATTTGTTTCGCTCGTTTCAGCTAAAATTGCTGTGAAATTAAATAGCTTTAATTTGTGACAACTAAATTTTTAACGGTGTGTTTTTCGCTGCGGTTCACTCGACAGCAACTATTGTTACTGTGCTTGTTCATTGTTTACAGCTCGTTTGCTTTTGTTGTTGCCGTGGGAAGCAAACAACTGGAGATTTACGTTGAAGTAAAGTTGACGATCAGATTGCGACATTTTGTGTAGTCCGGATGACGCATTGTTCTAAGAAAAATTTAATAACAGAAGATTTTTAGCGATGGGCCCAATCTTTTTGATCCATAGGCTTACATAAGAGCCAATTCCCCTTCCCCCTTATTTTCTGAATTTTTGATTGTATGCATCAATATTGCAAATACAGTGTGATTGCCTCTCACTCCAAAGGGCCTGGGTTTAATCCCAGTCGGCATCGTCGGGATTTTCAAAAGCATAATTTTTTCTTCATTTGTTCTTCCAATTTTTTTGAACGCATCCAGTTAAACTGTTAAAGTTTAAAATCATCCAGTTTTTGACGTAGGATTACGTCTTTCGGCAACATATTGGGAATGCAATTTCAAAAAACCAAATCGACCGCGTTACAAAACCTATAACTCTGTTAATAGATAATGGATTTTAATTCTAAACAAGCCAATCGATTAGAAATTTTTCTTCGAATCTGCTATAATGAACACTTTATCAATTTTCATTAGGTCACTATGGAATATTACACAAATGTCCAACTGTTTCACAGTTGTGTTTCCCTAGCACAACCGCTAAATATTGATAGGGTAGAGAACTACTTCGGCCTAATCGCCCATTTTGAGCCTATCGAGCAGAAAACTTCAAATAAATCCATGATTTTAGAGTTAACAAGTCAATTATGCGTTTGGTACGATACTTTAGTTAATAAGCTACGAAACGAAGTCAATGAGAACGCGTGATATGAAGATTTGCACCCATTATTCTCAAAAACAAAAGAAGCGCTCGGACCGATTCCATTTTTATCTTCATCCGATAGGTCGAAGTGAATTCATTGGCGTTTCAATTGCGTTTCAATGCGTTAGACCGAGTTCAGAATCCGTAGGCCGAGTTTGGCGTCAAGAAGCTGTGTTAGACTTTTGACAATATCTCAACGATTAGTTTCTCTTTATCAAATATTACGGTACGTACGGAAAGGTAAATAAATTTGGAAGTCATCAATAATAATAATAACATTCGGTTTGGTGCTAAACTGCGCTAGATTATGAGAGACTAAGTGCGGGTTGTGCTTAATAGGCTGGAAATGGGGTAGTTAACCCTACTGAGCACGTAATCCTACGTCAAATCTACGGTCGTGTCTTGGATACAACCTCTTACTTTTTGAGATTTTTTTTTTCCAGTTTCATCCAGTTTTTTATTAATAATAGGAAAATATTGTGAAGTATGACTGCCAGTACAGACTGATTAAAATGCTTACATACGGGTATTGGAATTGAAATCTGGAAATGCGATATTTATCAACATAATTTTATGTCAAAGTTAACCTTACTGGTATTGAATTATTCTAACAAAACAGTATGTTTCAGAACAATGGAATCATCTCAAATCTTGCAGTCAATATAAATGATGTATCACTGTTGTTTTTCAAACAATATTATATGAAATTATTGGGGCTTCTTAAATATACCTTCGTCATATTCTCTTGTAAATTCATTTAATTAAATTGAATCAAGATTTTAGCTGGGTTCTTATGTAGGGTTGCTACTTTTATGACTAAATAGTATTCCGTAAGTTCTTCAGGTTTTTCCAGAAATTTTACAGAAATTGTCCAGAAATTGTCCATGCTTATAAGAAAGCTGTTTTCTAATTGCGTTAAAAATGTGTTGTTTGTAGTAAAACAACAATTTTGTTTCTAGAAACGATGTAAGACATGACAATCAGTATTAATAGATTAATTTTACAATAAAACCCATTCAAAGTTAAAGTTCAACATTTACTTAAGCTAGTTAAGTCGAACATCTCATAAAGAAAATCAAAACCTTTAAGCTTCTTATTCCAAGTGCAAGATCGTGAAAGTTTACTTTTGTGCCAGAATATAAAAAAATAGTGCAAAACATTTGATAAATTTCAAGTTCACAATCTTAAACACATTTCAAAGTTCGGCTCTACAAATCGACAGTGAGCATGCATAAGGGCGAATACGCGATGATCGATTCTCTTCATCGATTTTCTCTTTGCATTGCTACAGCTAAGCGAAACAATTTTCTAGAATTTGTTCAATGCAGAGTAGTAACAGGTTGTATTGGCTATCAAAAGCAACAGCAACCGCACCGAGAAACGTTAAATCTAACGAGTTATTAACAAAAGAGAAAATCGACGAAGAGAATCGATCATCGCGTATAGGCCCTTATGCATGCTCACTGTCGAAATATTTCTGCTAGTTTTGGATCTTTAAAACTTCTCATTTTCTCTTATGTCAGGGCTGGTAGCGATCAATGCTGTCAAAAATAGTGATTTTAGTGACCATGTTGAAGAAATAAGTGACCAAATAGTTACTTATAGTTGTAAAAAAGTGACTAAAAAGTGACCTAAGAGAAGAATTTTCTACTACTAATTTTAGTCGTTCTGATTAGACTTATTCAATTAGATTCTCATAAACACTTAAATATGTACGATAGGAACCTTTAAAGCGAAATATTCAATAGAAAGTTTATGACTGAACCTCCAAGCTTCTACTACCTGGGAAAACATGAAAAACCGGACATTCGCAGGGAATTTTATTTTTCCTGAAAATACCTGGAAGTATCAGGGAATCTTATCATTACTCAGGAAATTTAATAATTGTTTTACTAAGAATGCATTTTAAAATAAAAACATTTAATATTTCTAGTTATTTTCATTCACTTATTGAACTTTATAGATCCAGAATGGATTAATCTTCAGTAACAAATACATTTTTAAATTCATAGACTTCAAATGATTTTTTTTTTGGTTCTAGAATATGCATATTTTCTACAAATTTTATAAATTCTGAACTGAAAAGTTACAATGCTTCAAGAAGTTTTTAAGAGTCTGCAGTCAAATTCCTTGCAAAGTTTTAAGACTCATGGAATTTTATTATAATTTCTAAGGACATTTCACGGGAGTTTTGGAAAAAAAATCCATTAGAAAACATCACCTGCAATCTGATTGCATGGTACTTCGAGGAATTTTAGACTTCATGTGAAGCCTAAGCCTAAGATAGTAAACTCCCAGCGAATTTTCATAAGAAATCTCCGTTGAATATGGAATAGACTATTTTGAGGTCTTCATAACAACATGAAAGTTCCCAAAATATTCCTAAAGTTAATTAAACTGCCTTGAAGTTCTTTTGTAGTTTGAGAATCTAACCTGATGCTCGCAATACTTCTCACCATTTTTTAACTCCTCTAAACTTTCTCGGATTTCCTAAAATTTCCACAATTTTCCCGACGATCATGAATCTGCAATCTTGTTAACAATTCACTGAATTTGTCGAAACTTTTTTTTTAATTTATGTAAATTCCCTGCTCTGGAATATCTCTGCTCTGAGGATATCTTTTCTTTCTTGAAGTTTTGTTGTTGTTTAGAGCTTTATTAGCGAGATCAATATCTTTCTCGAAGTTCTCGAAACTTCTCTAAAGTGTTTGCAGTTCTTATGAAGCTTATTGTACTACCATGCATTTACTTGAACTGTTCTAAAAATGTTTAAGGTTGTGTAAACTTGAACTCAATAATTTTCGTAACATCTCTAAAGGTCTCTGACAATCTGGGAACTTCTTGAAATTTCCCGCTAATTTAGTGAAACTAAAGGAACTGAACTCCCCTTAAATTCACTTTGTTTTTGGAGCTTTACTAAACTTATTTGAGATACTCCCGAAATGTCCATAAAAGTTCCTGAAGTTCTCGGATTTTTCCTTAAGTTCCATAGACTTTTATGAAGTTCTCGAAATGTTTCTGAAGATCTCTGTACTTCTGTGAAGTTTTCGAAGTTATTCTGAAATTACAGGAGCTTCTTTAGGCTTCCGCAGTGAAATAATTTATAATTCTAGGATTTTCACTGAAGTTATCAAGATTTGTCCGAAGTTCAAATTATCAAAACTAATTTATAACTTCTTCAATAGTATAAAGTTTCCTGAAGTTTTTAAAACTGCCCAAAATATTTCTCAATTTCCTTAAAATTCTCTATACTGCCCTGCCTTGGTATTTTTTAGAAGAACCCACCATTTTACTGGAATTGATTTAATTGCCTTTAAGTTCTACAAGTTTATAAACGCTCACGGAACTTTGCCGTAAATCACTAATTTTCCCTGGAAGAAGTTTTCTATGCTTACCTTAATTTCTCTAAATTGATCAAATGCTAAGTGTAAAATTTAATTTTTAGTAACTTGATAATGCTTTCCAAGTTATTTTCGTTTGTAACTGTAGTTACTGTAGTTTATGTATGTCGTCTGTATAATCTGTACTTTTTTTACAACACATCATTGGGACTATTTCTAGTCTGTTGATGCAACCATAACAAATAAACAAAAATAAACAAATGTTCCGGTAAATTTTCTGATACATATATTTATAATTCCCTGAGGCTTCTACAGTTTTCGGATCAATCATAGAATTCTCGGAATATCCCATAATTCTAAGGAACTCCTTGTAAGTCGTTGAAAATTTCCTCAAGTTGATGTGATTTTTCTGATGTTATCCGATCGTCCTCGATGTACTCGGAACTTCACTGAATATAATGAAACAATCTAAAATTATAAAAATTTCTTAGAAGTTCTCTGGAATTTCTTGAAAATATCGGTGCTTGCTAAAAGTTTTCGCCTT